CCTGCTCCGCCACCTGAAGCCCGATCTCATTTTCTTCGACCTGCAGCACTGGCTGCCGGGCCTGGCCCGCCGCCTCCAGATCCAATCCGTCCACTACAGCGTAGTCAGCCCAGCGTCCATGGGCTTCTTGTTCGCCGAGGGGACAATAACTGAAGACAGCCCACCGGGCTACCCGCCGTACATGAAGCCCTACAAGCACGTTGCCCGTGATTTCCAGTACTTCGAAACGGTTAAAGAACCCGGCAGCGGCGTAACGATAAAGCAGCGGCTGGTGACAGCAATCTGCGAGAGCAGCGCCGTTGGATTCAGAACGTGTAAAGAGATCGAGGGCCGTTACTGTGAGCTTCTTGAGAAGAAGCTCAAGAAGCCAATTCTACTGACAGGCCCAATCGTGCCAGGCCCACAATCGTCGGCCCAAGACGAAAGATGGGCCGACTGGCTAAACAAATTCAAGCCCAAATCCGTCGTCTTCTGCTCGTTCGGCAGCGAGGCCGTTCTAAGCAAGGCCCAATTTCAGGAACTCCTCCTAGGGTTCGAGCTGGCCGGTTTCCCGTTTCTAATCGCACTAAGGCCGCCGCCTCTGGAATCGGGCAGCTTGGAAGAAGCCCTGCCCGATGGATTCGGGCAGAGAACGAAGGATAGAGGGATCGTCCACGTCGGGTGGGTCCCACAGCGGCTGATACTGAAACACCCGTCGGTCGGGTGCTTTGTGACGCACTGCGGGTACGGGTCGATGTGGGAGGGCCTGACGAGCGGCTGCCGGCTGGTGGTGCTGCCGCATGTGGCCGATCAGTATGTGCACGCGAGGCTGCTGAGTGCGGATCTGAAAGTGGCTGTGGAGGTGGAGAAAGGGGACGAGGATGGGCTTTTCACAGAGGACGGTGTCTGTGGGGCCATAAGAGCGGCGATGGCGGACGAGAGCGGAGTTGGGAAGGAGGCGAGAGAGAATCACGACAAGTGGAGGGAGATTTTGCTGAAAGAGGGGTTTGAGGATGCTTATTTTGATAAGTTTGTCGATAATCTCTACGCCATTCTCTGAGTAAATGTGTAATGAAGCCTTCATGTGTGTTGAAACTTTTATCTAAGCGTAAATTAGTAACTGTATCAAATATTTATTATTGTGTTTCTTGATTGTATATTGTGTTTCTTATTACTTTAAGAGTCAATTATCTCAGACGCATTCGATTATCTAGCCGCACAAGCGGCATTGGGTTCGCGAGGCGTTGAGTTCCTTAGGATATCTGTGGTTACACGATCCACCAAATGGAGTTAAGATTTGCTTGGAACATGACTTAGCGGGTGTTGCCTCGCATAGGTGTCAATAGCCAAAAGCACCTATGCTATTTCTAATTTTTAGTTGAAATTGTAATTGGTTATATGATTATTATCAGACCTAGTATGATTCCGTCTTTTCCTTCAAAATTCGATCTCTTAGAGCTAGGTGTATGCCAATCTGTCTTTTCCTTCAAAATTCGATCTCTTAGAGCTATCTCTTTTGCTCCCAATGAATTGAATTGAAAAGACAGGCCGCTAAAGTTCGTCAGGCTAAAAGTAGATCGAGCAGGCATGATTGAAGTAGCATTTAATGGGTATGTTGTGAGAGGACAACACGAGATGTAAGGCAGTTACGTCAGTGAGACGTGGTACTGATGGACAGAGCGTCAGGTTTACTTGACAAAATGTCAGCAATTTGAATTTCAAATTTGAACTCGAGACTTTAGCTTCAGGTCGATAAGTGTATCTCAATTAAATAAAAGGAAGTATGAGTTGGGAGATTGGATAGACAATTTGTGAGTTCAACGAACGAGACCAAAGACAGCTGATGCTACTGTTAGATCGAGTTATCCTAATCTGACCACATGGGGAGGAGGGGGAGAATTTGAGGGGGTGGGGGGAGGGGGGAACGGGGACATATGATACGAGATACCATACTATGTCTACTCATCCCTAGAAGCATTCTAACCAAAACGAGGGAATCAATAAGTCGATCGGATATCGACAAAACCAGAAGTAGAAGACTCACCAAGTTGATGATGATTTCACATGCAAAGTGACTCGCCGACATGTCGAGCTAGGGCCCTTGGCTGGCGTGGTAGTAACTCGGCTTGGAGATATGCGGGTTGATGGCTCAATCTTAGAGACAGGGTGTACGGATTGAATGTAGAGGCAATCCAGCTCAAAAGAAGTCGAGTAACTAGCATGATTAAACCGTCTCATAAGGAAGACCGATATGAATACGTTTTGAAGAGATAAGAGGAAATATTATTCGATAAGAGCCAACATGGATAGGACCCCGTGACCTAACAAAATCGAGTAGTTTGGGAATTTAGACGATACAAACAGGTAACTCGGGAAACAGGACAGCCCAACCGGACAGTCTTAGGCGACGAGGTAACATCTTTATATAAAGGGATGATCATCCAAATTTTAGATACTATTATATACATACATAGCTATACAACTACTATTCATCATCTTTTTTAGCCACATTGATTTGATCATCGGACTCTCTACACCGGAACACTTCCAACGCTGTTTTGCAGGTCTATTGAACTGACAGAGAGCAATTTATTTCCTGTCGAGGTTGTTTTACACACCACCAGTTTTCCTAATATGTTAGTTCATTCAGTAGTTTTAAATCCGACTCGAATTTGGGCCCAACTTTCAAGTTTTTTTTTTTCTATATTTAAATTTGAATGCGGGTCAATTTTTCGAGCTAGATCGAACCCAAAATCGCCTGGCCACGGAAAATCGATTTTTTGAATTTGATTATTGGGTCTCATATTTGTTGGAAGATCGACATCTCGAACTTTGCTCTCTTTTTTTTTTTGATCTGATCATTTTTTCAAGAAATGTTGGACCGATCGGGTTGGCGCAGAACCAACGAGTCCGAACCTAAACCGAGGCCTTTGAAAGACGAGGCATAAGTAAAAATCCCCGTTAATACATCTCAAGGTACAATATCAGCATAAGAATACATAAATCGCGAGAGTACAACACTACAACCAAATAAATGGGTGACCCCCAAATCCCCGAACCCAAGCCCACCCAGAAACCCTCGTCGCCGCCCGACCCGCCCAGAATCCCCTCCGCCGGCGGAGGATTCTCCCACAGCCCTCACTACCCGAACCCGCCGGAGTCGGCGAATCCCGACGCCGCCACGCTCAGGGATCAATGGCGGTTCGCGATCAGGCAGTACAGCAAGTGGTACTCCCACGCTTGGGGCACAGCTATACTGGCCGGCCTCTCGTTCTTCGCTCTCGGATGGGCTATCAAAGGATCCAATCCTCTGCCTTCCTTCAAATCCAACGATACGAATAAATCTTCACCGTCCGGCGGTAGCGGTGATGAAGATAAAGCTACGGCTGAGGTCCCTCGACCGCGTTGATTGTTGTGAGGTTTTTTTGAAATTCTTTTGCTTCATTTTATCTGCCTAGTTTTGTAGTTGGCTGTGTTTATGTAATTGATGATGAAAAATTTGTTGTCAGCATTCATATCACTGTCTTTGGTTTGTGTAATGTGAACTAAATCTTGGGCAAGGTTTTGAATTTACACTTAGCTAGGCCAATTGCGTTATTAACTTGGTAGAAATACACTAGACTGTGACCTAAGGACCAACTACGAACATATCCTAAAAGAAAAGGAGTCAGTTTCCTTTGAAAATCGAGGAAGAAAGGGTCATGCTATATCCAAAACGTACGAAACAGTACACGACTTGGTTGGAAGGTTTTGATTCCTTATTACTCCAAGTATAGTTTGTTTTTTGTTAGTTGGATCCTAAAACCAGTTGAATCATGTATGGACAAATTGTTAATGTCAAAGTTGATATCAGAACACGTTACCCGTTATGCGATCACTTGAGTATTGTACCAGTGTGTGGCAACTTGTACTAAATATATGGATACGTTTTTCCTCGAATTTTGTGATAGAGGTTGAATTTGTACCATCTCCATCTTCAAGACAGGATATGGGTAGATAATTATAGGCCAAATCATCATCTCTTGTATAATCATCTATGGGTATGATGACAATGTTTATCAAGCACACATGTAAATGGATGAATAGCAAAGATAAGTTCTGTAGGCTGTTGTCACCAATTTTATAGTCTTTCAGTTTGTGGCGCTTCAATAAAATAGGAAGTTGTCGTACCAATTGTGGACTCAGGGACAATTACCTAAAGATACTTATCCCATGAGGATGTTTCATATTATTTTGCAGTATGAATTTATTTTAGTTTGAGTTGGTATATATAGAATGAAATCGAAGCATTTTTAGGTGGAAAATCAAAGAAGTATGTGGTAAAGACAAGGTAGGCAGCCCTAATCTTATATATACTTGTCGAAAAGCAGACTTTGAACCCATCAGTTTTTCATTTTTACCTCTTGGCTTGCTGCAGGTGATTTAGTTATGGTTTCAATGGACCCTGTTTTTGGGTGACATAATGTTCTTTTTTGGCCACTCACTAATCGAGTAGAGATAAAAGGGTGGGAGCAGAGGAATTAGGAAAACTTTGTTGTTGAATGTTGTTGGTGATGAAAAGCTTTCAGGTAAGGGTATCGGCATAACTTTGTGTATAAAGGTTGCTGTATAATGTCTTCTAAATGTGAGAAGTGATTGATTACTTTTGTATATCAAAATGCTTTACGAGTCTTGCGTTTGACTTCTGTTTTTCTGTTTTCTGTAACCTCTGATTTTCATTTTGCTTTTATCTTTCTTGTAGTTAAAGAAACATGGACTTTAATGGCATTTTTTAGGTTAATCCTTAATCTGCTGCTGAAAGTGTTTCTTTATGCACTAAGATGATGCTAGTCATTCTGGTTTTAGGTTTATGTATTTATAGTTGAGTTCACTAAAAGACATGTATTCTTGGTGAGCTGAGAAATGTTGATGGTCCAAGTTCCCACCCTCTTGATAATTCGGGTCTTGGGCTGTACTCAGACATATATAATTTGTACATCCAGTTTTTGGAGTGTGGGCCGTCACGAGTTTAGTTAGGCGGGGATAGTGAAATGTAGATTAACCCATGTAATCTGGCCCAACAAGATTAGAAAATCAAGTATAGATTAACCTATGTAATCTGGCCCAACAACTATAGAAAATCAAGTATAGATTAACCCATGTAGTCTGGCCCAACATGTAATCATTGCTATTAGGAAAATTATGATGTACGGGAAGACCTTATATTCATTAGGCGAATTTACACAATATTGTACTCTTTGTACAATAATTGTAATTATACGGGCTGAAGATTTTATTTGCACAACCCTATTTTGATCAGAAATAGTTATATATATGCCTAAATTTGATTGGAAAAAAAAAAAAAAAAATTGCCACAAAAAAATTGTCCACAAAAAATTTTGAATTTGGAATTAACAATCTTTTTTTCTAAAAAAAAAAAGACTAGTGCGATTCACTTCCATGATCAACATAAACAATAATCAACTAAAAAAAATAAATTGCTCATTTGTCCACTTCGTCAACAAAAATTATTTTAATATATTGTCTATACATGCAATATATACCTCTGTTCTAAAAGTCAGCCCTAGGCGCTAGGCGTGTCCAATAACCTTTATTTTGTATAAATGGGCTGAAAAAATCGGTTAGGCGGCTATGTGACACATAGGTGGGCTTAAGCGGACCTAGGCGCTTCTAGACGGGCTCGGCGGGCTTGGCAGGCTCGGTGGCCATGCGGCTTGGCGGTGCATAGGCGGACCTAGGCAGACGTGCCTAGGCGAGCTTGGTGAAATTTTTTTATATTTTTTAGTATTTTTTTAAATACTAATTACATTATTTTGTTATCATATTTTTTTTTATAATATACTAATATTATTAAGTTGCTAGGCGCTGGTCGGGCGCCTAGCAACTTTTAGAACACTAATATATACTGTTGACATCTACGGGTGAAAAATATATTTCATATACATGTAACATATACTGTTGATATATACTGTCCGTGCAAGATATACTCCCAACATACACGCAACCTATATTGTCGACCATATCATTCGGCAGACACATGAAAAATTTTCTAATATACTGAAAATATACTGTCTATACAAGTAACATATGTTGTCGACATCTCACGAACGGGGAGAGCCCGGAAAAATTAGGTCTTCTTAGAAAAAAGTTAATTCTTGAGTCGTATAGAGAGCCAAATTTTTTAGATCCACACATATATATATTAGATTAGAAGTATATAATATATTTTGAGTAAATAGAGCCACACTGTTGCTGTAGTTTCGTAGGTGCAAAGATACGCACCTGTAGATGATTAAATGGGACTTGATGATTAAACGGTGCTACTCAAAAAAGCCGTGATCAAAACAGTTGATTATATTATAGTATAGGATAAGGTCAACAGAAACTAGTCTCTGCTGCAAGTAATCTTATTAAAGCCTATAAAATTAGATTCTTCTTCTTATTTTTATTATTTTT